GTACTAACCATGTCAGAGCCTCTACAAAACTTACATGTTTCAGGACTTGTCCCAAACGGAACACCAGTTCCACCTAAAAAATAAAGAAGATTTTCATTACAAGTTAAATTGATTATTCCAAATGCATTGATGAATTAATAAAGGTGCAACGCACAAATGTCATAATATCACAAAGTCATTCAATTAATAACTCAAATTCAAATTAATTCTAGAATGCCATTAGAAAAAAGACAAAAAACAATTATGGTGATATAAAGAGACAAATATTCGGCATGGTAACTGATATGAAAAATAAAAGAACCAACTTTCACCTACCTTCGGTGCACTGATTCCATCTTGTCTCCCTTATATGATCATGACAATCAATTATTCTCTTAAATATATTATGTCTTTAAAAGTTTCACAAAACATAAAATTGAAAACATCGAACAACATATGGAAGGAATACGAGATTAGAAACTCAAAGGATATGCAATAAACTTGATAATAAGATTAGAAAAAATCAAAACAAATTGAAAGGATCCAAATTCATCACATACTATGTCCAAATATCGTTCCCCGCTAATATCTATGGCATCTAGCTAGACTCGACAAAGAACACAGAACCTCAGTAAATGATACATTAAAACTGCATCCAGTTTAGAAACACATGTTGTAATTCCTCATGGAAATAAACAAATTCAGATCATAGACAAGATTATGAGATGATGGACCTGAAGTCTAAGTCAAGAGGGAAGGAACATAAACCAATATCAGAATAATATGCTTATAACTTCATTGAATGTATATGAAATAAACCAATGCACTGATCATTGTATACGGAATATCAAAACTACCACAGAAAAATAAAAGTTTTTAGAGATAACAAATGACGGATATCTTACATTGTTTCACAACTTTCCTCCCTATATGTGTCTCATAAGCTTGATATCTGTAATAGTGTATAAATATAACCCTACAAATTGATAGGCCAGTAAACATCCGTCAAAATAAGAAATAAAAAATAGCACCTTCACAAAGAAAAGATTCTTTATTCTCTTATACTAATATATTAGTTCATATCTCCCAAAGAAGTTAATCAACAACTAATCGATCATAAAATAAAGAACAACAAATAAGTAACACAAAAATTGATGCCCCAACCAGAAATCAAAGCATACCTGACAAAGAAATAACAAAAGCCCCAAATAAATCGGGCAATTGAATCTTTAAGAAACGGATGGCGGTTACACCAGGTAGGGCATCGATAACCGAGAATAAAAATGCAAAATATAAACAACTACCTTCACCGAGGCGTGTGGAGGGGAACACGAGAAGCGACCCTCGTGGTGGTGAAGGCAGAGCTGGAAGCAGCCTTGAAAAATGGCGTGATTTGCTGCACTACTTTGGTTAGGCAAAATGATTTTCTATGGAAAGAGAACGACAGTGGCGGCTGGAGCCTTGACATGATGTAGACAGCGGAGAAGAGAAAATGGTGTTTTCTTCACTCCATCGTTGGATTTAATTTTTAGGAGACTGAAATGGATTTGATAGGGATTTGGTTGTGGAGTAGAAAATTAGAATGGCTAAAATAATACCGCAAGTAATATTTGCACGATTTTTTAGATGATTGTCTTTTTGTTATGAATTGAAAAATTTGTCATTAATTGTATGGCAGAGATTAAAAGTAATAAATGAACGAAGAGTAAAAATATAAAATTTGTGTTTAAAAAAAAAAATGGAACAATATTTGTTGAACGTCCAAAATAAGAAAATAGGATAGTAGTTTCTGGACGGAGAGAGTATATTGTAGAGGGTAAGGGTAAAATATGTATTTTATGTAGACATCCGTACAACTTAATATGTATTAGTATTAATATTTGTACTATATATGTGCAGGAAATATATAAGAGCAGATACAATGGTAAGTCAATTAAAACTCTTATCATACACAGTGTAGTACCGTGTCCACACTTGTACATAATAGCTTTTTACAATAATAAATTGTATTGATAAAAAAATAGTGAAACAAAGCACACAAATTGTACAATAGTTGCCTCGCCATGACCTCTAATTCACAAGGTTGAATCCAAATTACAGAAGCTTCCATAGATACTTCATTGTATACCTAATTTTAAACTTTGGATAAAATTGTCTTCAGTTAAATGGGATGACTTCTAAAGTATTGGATTGGATTTATATTATTCATCCAATTCCTCAAAAATATCAAATCAAACACCTATTTTTTATTTTTTATATTATACTAAAAATTAATTTTACATTCAAAACATCACATCACCACCTATTTATATCACATCATACAACTATTCAAATTCAAAATTTTTACTATTCAAATCCCAACTCAAAATTCAAACCTCCAAATAAACACACATGTATTTGCTCTAAGTATGTGTGTGTTCAAACATATGACTGTAAGAAAAAATGGTGAAAAGGAGATAAATAAAAAGAGAAAATTGTATTCGATATTATAAACATGACTATTTATAGGCACAAAAGATAGTGATTAATATAAATAAAATGCCCACTTGACATCTTGGCATTATAAGATGAAGACACCTATCACAATATATAGCACATTATTGAATTGAATAAAGCAAATTATGTAGCCACTGAACAACACATTTACCATACACATCTAGTATTAAAAAAATCAAAATAATTAATAGTCCCTAACATAGGGTGGATTCATTTATATTAAAAGCAGCACACAAAAATATTAACTATAACATACATTATTGAAAACACTAAGCACCACCAACCTAGTGAATAATTTAATAAATCTATATCTCCACATTAAAATCTCACTTAGATCATCTTTCAATTCATAAAATAATATTATCTTATTAATATTATTACATGAGTTACAATATATTTCGCTATCGTTTAGAATGAACTATAATATTTCTAATAATACCATATGATCAAACAATATTATTTTAATATTCTATTTTATGTGATTTTATATTTATAAATAACAGCCAGTATTTTATTATTTTTACATACTTATTTAACAAAAATATTCTATGTTTATATTTATTAACTATTATTTTGATGATTTAATTTGTTCTTATTCCCATATATGTTTATTTACAAAATTAAAATATAAATGTATAAAAATAAATTATTTTTTAAATAATCAAAAATAAAATTTAAATAAATAAATAACATATTTTAGAATTTTATTTTAAGTAATTTATAACTATATTTTTAACTAGAAAATACAAAAATAATATAAAATAAAAATCTATATTTTTCCAAGTTGCTACAATTTTCGTTGAGTTAGGAGGGTGAAACTGCAACTATTCGGGGTCTGAAAGCTCAGTTGTAGAGCAAACTCTACCGAAATAGGTTAATATTTATTTGGTTGGAAATGGTCTTATATATGTAACTTTTTATTATTTTATATTTGTAAATTATTAAAAAATCATTCTATCCTTGTGATATATAGACCATTATATATAAATTTTTATTATTTTATTTTTATTTTAGTATTATATATGTTGAGCACAAAAAATGGTGGATTGGATTTTTTAGGATGGGCTGCCAAATTAGGTTAAGATTTATTAAAAAAGTCCAATAAGACTTTGAAAGTCCAAATATAGATGCAATAACTTGGTCGGGTCAATCTCAAAGGTCGGACGGATGATGAGACGGGACCTGGTCGGGTCAATTCCAATGGTCGGGACCTAGTAAGATCGGATGTTGAAGTCGGACCTAGTCAGCACAAATCCCAAAGGTCGGGCGTAAGAAGGTCGGGTATTGAAGTCGGATCAAGTCCAAATGTTAGGCGTAATAAGGTCGGACACAAAATGAAGACAGTACAAGGTCGGGTAGTAAAAGTAGCTAATCTACAGGTCGGGTGAGAAGGCAGTTCCTGATAGTGGAGGGTAGTTTCAACTGGCGAGCAGTTTTCAAAGGTCGGACGTGGTAGGACAGTTCCACATGTGTCAATAAGAGAGAACTTCTGAGGTGGTTAACAACGGTTATGGTAACCGACTAGGTGGCGGTTCGAACCGCATCTTTAAGGGGTTATTTAAGTATTCCGTACTGTACGGAGAAAGGATCTTCAATCGACATCAAATTCAAGAGAATTACTTTTGGGGATCACCACTTTTATTTTCCAGTCTTTTATTTTATTTTTTTTTATGTATTCTACAATGTTTAGAGATCTCTAATAGACACTCATCTATCAAATTCGAGGATATTTCTCTATTTTCGGATTTCACTTTTTATTGTTGAAAAATTGCATCAACAATATATATAACTACCAAATATTAATATTTAAAGTTCCACACGCAATAAATAAATAAATATTTAGTTAAAAGATCGATGTAGTATTATTTTTATAAATAATACTCTTTCGGTTTTAATTTAATTGACATATTTTTTATTTTTGTTCGTCTCATAACAATGAATACATTTCTATTTTTTTTTTTTTATAGAAGTTCTAACTCAATAGATAGTTAACAAATATAAATCAATTTAATTAACTACATAATATATAATATCATACATAATATAAGACCACTTAAAATATCTTTATTTCTATCTCTTTCTTAAAAAAACAAATATTTTTATCTATCTTTAAAATTTTACCTCTTTTGTATAATTAATTTATATTAATTATAAATAAATGTATTTTTTTTATCTATTATAAAAAAATTTATTCTTTACAAAATGATATACATATTATATATATTTTTATTGCAATATAATTTTTTTAAATATTTAAATACATATTTTAATTTTTTAATTATATATATATTAAATTTATTTAAGATTACCAATATTATTAATCACCTAATAAATAATAAAATAAAATGATAATTTATTATGAATTAATTGAACATGTTAGGTTAAATATCGTGTCACTAATAAAATGTTTGAATTAAACGAATTTGAGGAATAAAATATGTCAATTAAGCAAGATAGAGGAAGTATTTTTTAAATTTAAAATGCTAAAAAATCAAATCCCAAATTATTAGTAATAGATAAGATTTCCGATTAGCTGAAGGGTCTCAAAAGTCAAAAGGGGCTAAGCGGAGAAGAGCAACGAATCGGCAATGGCGGAAGGGCAAGGACAGGGAGTCGTGAAGCACATTCTGCTCGCCAAGTTCAAGGAAGGCATCTCTGACCACCAAATTGAGGAATACGCCAAGCAATACGCCAACCTCGTCAATCTCGTCCCTTCTATGAAGGCCTTCGCTTGGTTGGTACTCTACTCGTTTCCCCCCTTCCTTTTCAAGTTAATTATTGGAAATAGTTTCATTTTGTTTGGAAAACTTAAAATTGACCGTATAGATTCAGATCGAGAGAGATCTGATAGCTTTATGTTATCTTTTTCTCGGACTGTTGGGAGAGATTTGGAATGAAATTGGGTGGATTGAATTGATAGTTAGGTTTAATTTTGATCTGTCTTATTCTGCTCATGATTCTCGAGCAATATAATGGCGATCATGAACAACTAATTCTGCTCCACTGATGTGATGTGTAGGGGCAAAGATGTGAGCATTGAGAACATGAACCAGGGGTTCACTCATGTCTTTGAATCAAGCTTTGAGAGTACTCAAGGCATTGCTGAGTACGTTGCTCATCCAGATCACGTCGATTTTGCAAACTTGTTACTCCCGAAACTCGAGAAAGTCCTCGTGGTCGACTACAAGCCTACATCAGTCCTGGTTTGAGAACTAACTCATTACCTACATACCTTGTCTGTTGTTGGTGTTTTTCAATCACCATTGCTGTTTACATTGTTCTTCTTTGCTGGAAGATAAGATAAAGAGTCACGGCTACCCACGCTTGTTCGTCTTTTCATTTGAAATCACATGTCAGATCTTGTGTCTTTGTTTGAATTTGTTATATTTGATCCTTTACAAATTCAAAGCATGGTATCACACCCATAGTTGCCCGTATTTGGTATGATATTAATTCTAGTTAGGATTTGGTTTCGAGGTGGAGACGGAGAGTATTTAGTGTCCCACGTCGGTTGTATGTCAGGAGCTCTCATTGTTTATAATGATGAAAAACCAAACTCCTCTTATTGCCAATTGGTTTTGAGATGGAGTCCGAAACCCTTGTTAATTAGAAATCTCGATTTCTCAATCAACTTTAACTAAATGGACACATGGTGAAGAACAGAGGCAAGTGTTGGGGTTATTAAATTGAGCTTTTGCAGCTATCCTTGCCTTCTCAACTTTATCAAGCCTTGTTGACGACGAGGTTGAAACAAAAAGATTATCCATGCGACCATAATCGAAGAATGGAATACTTGTAGACCATAGGATAAACAAAAGAATTTTTTTGTGAAATTAGACTAAAACTAAAACTAAAATCAATTATTGTTCAAGTGATGGCGCGGCTGATCCCACGCTACGAGAATTGTTTTCCGGGTATTTGGGAATGTTAACAAGGTTGCCAACGGCGGCGTTTCTGCACCTTTGGAAGATCTGCTAAGCCGGATTCATACATTCACAGACACAGCTACATTAAGCTGTCTAAAGAGGAAGAAAAGTGTGAGAAGAGTTGGGAAGAAGAAGACAAGTTGGTGAAGTAGAGCAAGGAATGGTGTGTTGATCCTCATCATCAACGACATTTTGAGGATTCGATTGTCTTCCCTTTCCTTGTGTTTGTGTTATTGTTCCTCTTCATTTTGAAATTCTTAGTTAATTAATTAGTAGTACATCATAATGAAATATATATACATATTTCGTTCCGATTTTCATGTTTGACTGGGTTAGATTTGACTCAATTAGAACATACAATATGTAATACTATATTCCCTTTCATCTTGAACGAAAGTATACATTTGAATTTGAATTTTTTTAGTATATTAAAACATAATAGTTATTTTATTTTATTTTAATTTTTTTTATATATATCTATATAGCAATGGTTGGGTCCAAACTGGGTTGCCTACGTACCCGAATGAGATCAAGTCATACGTAGTTCTACTGATAAGCTATACAATCCCAGCAAATCTAATAGACAAGACAAGACAAGCCTAGGTACTCCAAGTATAAAAAAACCAAAAACAATCTGCCTAAGGCATCAACACCATTAGGGGTGGAAATAGGCCAGGCGGCCTGTCAGGGGCCTATGACCTGGCCTACATCAAGCCTGGCCTGGCCTGTTCTATTTATTAGAAAGGCCAGGTTCAGAGTTTTGTTAAAGCCTGTTTATATATACAGAAAAAATAGGCTTAGGCTTATGAAAAAGCCTATTTACTAAACAGGCCGGCCTGTTTAATAATAATATTATTATTATATAAAATTATTTTTTATTATTATAAAATAAGAATAGTTTTATATATAATAATGATATATAAAAAAAAAATTTTAATTATAAATTTATTAAAAAAAAACAAAAATAAAAATAATTTTTATCCCAATAAAAAATTTCAAATATGAACAACTACTGCACACATGTTCATTTTTTTGTTTCTTTTATCATAATTCAAATATTATCCCGCTGTAAACTGAACAACAACTGTCCATATTCCTTTTCCACCGCTGCAAGCCTGCAACTGCTGCCAGACCTCCACGCCGTCCAGGGTTTTGCAATCTTCTTCACAGAGACCCACTACTTTTCTTTTTCCTTCTTCTGTCTTCATCGCCTCTTCTTTTTTATTGCTACCGGTGGAATTTGGAAAAATAAGGTAAATATCGTTTTTATATGTTTTTTTTCGTTATTTTTATTTAGATATGAATTTCAATATATATATTTTTTGTTTTTTTGTTATATTTTATTTATCTTATATATTTTTTTATGACGTTTTTTTTGTTTTTTTATAACGTCATTTTTTAAAAATAGTTTTGTTATTTTTATTTTTGTGTTTTATATTATTTAGATTAAAATGAAAATTTTATATTTTTGTAGAAAAATATAAGATATATATTTACAAGAATGATCAGTTTCTGATATTTTCGTTTATAATGTATATCATTAATTAAATAAATTTTTTTATTTATTTTGAAGCAGGATATGGCTTCGATGGATGAAACAAATATTTTTGATCTTCTATCTGATACACACAATAGTATATCAGTGGATTCCCTTTCAAGCCAACCTGTGGATGATAACAGAAATGAAGACGAAAGGAATTCAAATCAAGCAAATGAAGGTGCCAATAGGAAAAAAAGGAAAAAAACTTCAATTGTGTGGAATGACTTTGATGAAATTCAAGTTGCTGAAGGTGTTAAGAAAGCTATTTGCAAATACTGTAAAAATGCATTTGCTACTGGGGGAAGAGGTGCGAGCACAAGCCATCTAAAGAGACATTCAGAAGGGTGTTTGCAGAGGACAGTACAAATGGCTTCACAAAAGAAACAATGTGTCATTCCTTTTAAGCCATCCAATTCAAGTAATCCGTTTATAAGTCCGGGGTTTAGATTTTCTAATGAAAAGATGAGGGAAGTCATTGCCACTTCTATTATGGTACATGAGTATCCTTTTAGCATTGTAGAAGACGATGCTTTTATATGGTCATTTCAGTATGCGAACCCTGAATTTCAGAAAGTTTCTCGTAAGACGATACGAAGTGATTGCATAGCAATATATGAAGCAGAAAGAAAAGCATTGAAGGAATTATTAAAGAGTGTGAGCAAGATTAGCTTGACAACAGATATGTGGAAATCCAGTCATCAAGTGATTGAATATATGGTAATCACTGGTCATTTTATAGATTCTGGGTGGAAGCTTCAGAAAAGGATTTTAAGCTTTGTCAAGGTGCCTGCTCCAAGGCGAGGAATTGATGTAGCCAATGCCATTTTCAAATGTTTGAAGGCTTGGGGGATCGAAGATAAAGTGTTCTCAATATCAGTTGACAATGCTTCATATAATGACTCGTGCTTGAGGTATCTAAAAGACTACATATCACGCAGCACCAAGCTTGTCCTCGATGGAGCTCTATTTCATGTTAGATGTTGTGCACACATATTGAATCTTTTGGTGCAAGATGGGCTTAGTCGAATCAAAGATATCATCCATAATGTTCGTGAAAGTGTGAAGTATGTAAACTTCAATGATTCAAGATTGAAGAGTTTTGGTGAAGTAGTTGAACAAAAGCATCTAAAAGAAAGGAAGTTGATAATTGATTGTCCAACAAGGTGGAATTCTACATATCACATGTTAGCCGCTGCTTTAAAATTCAAGATTGTCTTCTCAGAATACCAAGAAAGAGAACCTCATTATACATTTGCACCTTCAAATGAAGATTGGGAGAAAGTCGAGAAAGTTTGTAAACTTTTAGAGGTTTTCAACTTAGCTACCAATTTAATATCTGGAAGTGAATATCCTACTGCCAACTTGTATCTTTCAGAGGTCTGGAAAGTGAAGCAAGTAATTGATGATGCGACAAAGGATGATGATCTTTTTATGATACAAATGGCAACGCAAATGAAAGAAAAGTTTGATAAATATTGGGGTGAGTGCAATCTATTGATGGCTGTTGCAAATGTATTGGATCCGAGAGTTAAATTTCATGGTGTTGAAATATGTTTTCCAATGATATACAAGTCTGAAGAAGTTGCTGCCGAGTATGTGAACAAAGTGCGTGCTTCACTGCAACAACTATATAATGATTATGTGGCCTTAAGTGTTGAAGAATCATCCTCAAGTCAGTGCAATATGGCTAACATCTCCTCTGCCACCACCCAATCTGAATCTGCGATAGTTATTGGGTTTGATCAAATTATGAGTCTTGTAAGAGCAAAAGAAGCAATTCCTGTATCAAAATCTGAATTGGATGCCTATCTCGAGGACAGTGTTTATATTCCTGATGGAAATATGTCTTCATTTTGTGCCTTGGAGTGGTGGAGGAACAACAACATGAAATATAAAGTTTTATCGAAGATGGCTGCTGATGTACTTGCGATTCCAATATCAACGGTAGCTTCAGAGTCTACATTTAGTGCTGGAGGTAGAATTATAGATGAATATCGTTCAAGATTGAATGAAGAATCTATTGAGACACTAATTTGTGGAGGAGATTGGCTTCGACATAAATACAACTTGAAAAAAAAAGAAGGTAAATTTTATTATTAACTGTCTTTTCTTTATCTTATTCATCACCCACAATATATTTTTTTCTAATAAAAATATTTCTCTCATTTGAAGGTGAATGAGTCTTTGAAGGAGATAAGCTTATAGATTAAAGAAGTTCTTTAATACTTTGGTTGCGGTACGTTTTAAATTTATAATATTTTCTGAAATTTTTTATACAGATTAATTGTTTGAAAATCTGATTTTTTTAGTAAGATATTGTTGTTGCATGATGTATTTTGGGAGGATTCAACTTTGATTTTCTGAAATTTGTTGCAGGATGTATTGTTTGAAATATTTAGATAGGTTTGCAGGTGGTTGTTTTGATATTACAATTATTTATTTATTTTTTTTAAAATATTTGGATAGGTTTGCAGGTGCTGAAATTTTAAATTTTGATTTCAGGAGTGGAAATGCTAATGTCCAGAAGATATTATTGATCTATTTGCTATTTTTCTCTTGAAACTTTTATTGTATTGGTAAGTAAGATATTCCTTTTTTCTTTTTGTTCTAATATAATTTTTTGATGCTTTGCGTAATTTATATATAGAAGGAAGAAATTTCAGATATAATACTAATTTGATCAACTTTTGTACTTGAACAGATTTAATGGTTTCAGAAACTTTGGGGGAATTTGCAATTCTTGTGGCTTGTGGCCTGTGGGTGACGTGAACTTGAAAAACTATGTTATTAATTTCTAAATATTTTTGTCGAATTTTTTAATATTGCTTCTGAGTTAGCGTTGCTTATTTCTTTGTTAGAACAATCAGCTTAATGACAATAGATTGATGTAAACTGTTTTTTTTTTTTTTAATGTCATTATGCAGTAATTTCTATCAGCTTTTGTCTGGAGTTTGCAAGACTTATTCCCAATAATTATATATATATTTGAATGAATTGTAATATACGTTTTTTTGCAAATTATTAGTATAATATATTGTATTTTTATATGGCAATAAAAATGATTATTTTTGTCATTAAAAAACAGAATTTCTTATTTTTTTATATATAATATAAATAATTGTATCTGTTTTATTTTTTATTTATAGTACGAAATTTACAAAAAAAAAATAATAATAATAAATTATTATGTAGCCTTTTAAACAGGCTCGTAGGCCAGGCCAGACTTTTAAAAAGGCCAGGCTCAGGCTTTAAAAATATTTTTTTTCAGGCTGGTAGGCCAGGCTCAGGCCATATCTTTTTAAGACAGGCCAAGCCTATTTAACCAAAGCCTGGCCTGGCCTGGCCTATTTCCACCCCTAAACACCATACTAAACACTAAGCTATCAAGTCTAAATGTCATCGGTCAAAGCTAAGTCAAAATCAAAGAGGGTGAGCCTGCCACTTGAAACGGAAAGTAGGAAGACCGTCAGCATCCGCTCGAAGGAGGCCTCTAATCGACGAAGGGATATCTGTTGGGAGAAGTATCCGCTCAATCGGGAGAGAAACCGCCACAGTCGCTAAGGCATCTGCGCGTGGTTCCCTTCTCTATATATATGATATATCCGCCAAGTCGTATTCCTAAGCCGCAGGCGAATATACATAAGGCAATGTTGGAGACTCCAATGGCTTGTCTCGGAAGAGATCAAAGAGATGCAAGTTGTCAAATCTGTCTCGATCCATAATGGCATCAATCATCGATCTATTGCTATCCCTACTCTAGTTTGAATTGCCGTAAGCTCTGCCAAAGTGTTCGTTGCCTGCGGAATCGGAGTCTGAAACGCAATGAATACTGCTCATACCGAATCTCGGATAATACCTGCCGCTCCGGGATTGCCAAGCGAAGCACCATTTTTGTTAAGCTTGAACCATCTCGGAGATATTGCCTCCCATCCCACCATAATCAGAGGCCGAGGAATTGGAGGGGGGTATCGAAATCCAAGTCCATCTGCTATATGAAAATCTCCCACCCAATGTCGACGTAAGAGAATCCGAGCATGCCAAAGAGTTCGCAAGTGTGAATGAATCCGCCATATGATCCTCTCGGAAGATACACAAAGCCCCCTATGCTTCGCATCGTTCCGAGCAATTCAAATGAACCATAGTATCAACAACAGAACATACGTTCTAATACTCAGAGAATGTGCCGAAGAAAGCCTCCTCGAAGACACAAATAGATGCAATATATGTGTCTCTGGCAAAGATATCCTGAAAAGCACCGCAAAATGCTTCCACACTCGCCAGGCAACCGCCGAACTAATAAAGAGATGCGAGATAGTCTCGACCTCCATGTGACAACAGTGGCATCGTGAGACAATCGAAACACCATAATGCTGAAGAATCTCATATGTTGGTATCCGTCGCCTAAACAATCTCCATTAAAAAGACTGACATCGTCAGAGTAAGAATACCCGACCACAATATCCCCGACGGCCTACTCCGTAGCCCCATATCACGGCAAAGCTCCCAAGCTGAGGATGTCGTAAATGTACAAGATGACGAGGCCATTCAACTAATCCAATCCTTAGACTGTCTATCAACAGGGACCTCCATAACACGTTGAACGAGCGACTCAGGAAAATATGCTCGCAATTTTACAATATCCCACGAGTCACCACTCCACATATCTCGAACCAAGATCGGCAGTGGCGGCGGTAGTCTGCCATCCCGAAAGGTCGAAAGGGGCTGCTCTCCAAGCCATCTATCATCCTAGAAATAACACGCCCCTCGACCTAAAGTCCAATGAATCTGCAATTGAACCTCCTCCTTAACTCGGCACAAGCGCTTCCACACGAGGTTGACGTAGCTCCGACAAAGAGCACCGCCCGGAAAGGAATCGCAAAAGTACTTGTGCCGCATTGCCTGCGCCCACAAGGAAGAACCCTCGTGAAGCTTCCACCAAAATTTCATGGAAAATGCATGAACCATATCCGAGAGACGTCGAAGTCTCAAACCACCCTCCTCTTGCGCCCGTGCCCCATTCGCCAAAAAAATCCAATGATGCTGGCGAAGACCATGATACGAGCCCCAAAAGAACCGCACACAGATCTGCTCAACTTCATGAAGTATCAATTGTGGAGGCTGCAACACCTGAAGTAAATACAGTGGAAGAGACAAAAGTGTACTCCGAATAAGCTGTAATCGGCCGCCATGTGACAATACTGATCGAAGATTTTTGGAGATTTAAAAATATCTTTTAAGATACAAAAAATAACCGGTGAGTGTCTGGGTCGAACTCAGGGAATATGCGAATATCCTATATTTAATTAGAAAAAGTGCAATAATTTAATGCAATCGAAGAAATTGAAGAGATATATTTCAGAAATTAAATCTAACTAAAAAATGATAAAATATACGTATCTCGAAAAGGATGAAGCGAGGCGTTTGTGTCTGACTTTTGCGTTCCTTAATGGCTAGATTTCTATGGATGAAATGAGCGGGATGATGATGACGTGATAGTGAAAAATATATGTATAATTGTGGGGCGGCTCGGAGGAATGAACGTGATTGCATTTGCTCGCTTAAGCCGATTCTCGACTCGGTTGGTACTTTGACCTTAGGGGATTTACAACGAGGCTTCAGCGACACCCGACAAAGAAAATCATAAGTAAAAAACTCTACTGTCACTAGAAATTTATGTGACTCAATAGACCAACGCCTATGCCTTATGAATTATTCTTTCAACCGCTCCGCTAGTGGCTCTACCCTTCTGATACCTCTATTTAATCGGAATTGAATTCAGAACAACAACTAAGCAGGTCGACAAGGCTCCCACGTACTTAGCTACGTTGAACTACCCGGAATCTGTTTGTGACACGAAACAAGACTGAAATAGTCGATTCTTCTATCGCCCTTCCGCAACTTTGTCGAAATCTAACTTGAACAATTCAAATTGAACATAGAATTTTTTGGGTGAAGGTGAGGTGGAGAAATATGATAGGAATTCTACTAGCTAAAATAATATGCAGTAATTAAAAGAAAATGAGGAGAAAATCAGTTTACTCGCGACACAAAATTGAAAATCTCGTATTATTAAATTAGATAAAAATATGAGAGAAAAGAAATGGAGAAACTAGAATGTATGGAATATACATTATTGTATATATATGGTGTGTATGTATATTTAGAGGGGATATTTATAGGGAGAAAAACTTCTAAAAGCTTCGCGGTTACAACCGTCCATAAATAACTATTAACTACCTTTAATAACAATAAATAACTACCTTTAAAAATAGCTACTAACTACCTTTAAAAATAATCATAAATAACTACCTTTAAAAATAGCCATAAATAACTACCTCTATAAATAGCTACTAACTACCTCTAAAAATAGCAACTAATATAACTACTAATAATTTACTAAAAACTACCTATTTTCTAGAAGGTTTTAGAATAAATATTATACAAAAATAGCCAAAAATTGACTAAATGATGATGCAGGAATTAAATATGGGAGCTGGGAGAATGCATGAATAAATGCAAGGTGGCTAGAATAAATACAGGAGCTGAGGGAGGTTGGGCGGATTTAATGCAGCCACCGCTCACTTTCCATGTACGGTCTTCCGCACTCTGTCGCTTGAATTCCGTGCAATGGTTGACTTTGACTTCCACACGTTGACTTTTCTGCGTTGACCGTTGACTTTCGCGCCGGTGACCATTTTTCGCTCCCGAAGTCATTTTTTTTCGCTTTTTAAGGCTTGTTTTGGACTCCCAAATCAGTTTTCAAGCATTATTTCCCCTGCATAATTAGTAAACATCTTATAAATATTTATTTAAATAAATAATACTTATTAAATAAAATTAATTTAGCCAAAATTAAATACTTAAATAGCACATAAATAATGCCTAAAAATATAATTCAAAAAATACATCAATTAATTTAATTTATACACCAAAATAATTATAAATTACACCTAAAAACTAATAAATTAATACTATACACACTAGATGAAATAAATACAATTATTAGAATAAATTAACATAAATAATACCAAAATTTGACATAAATAAATATAAGTTATAAAATATGGCAAAATCAGGAGTTATCAAACTCCTCACACTTAACCTTTATTCGTCCTTAAATAAATTCAATTAATGAAATTAAACCAAGTATTTTCTAAATAAGGACTCAATATTGTCGGCAATATTAACGGTGGTGTGTAAACGAATCTTAGCTAAAGTTCAGATTCTTAAGCCATTTATGCGATATTGTTCATCTGCAAAGATTCAAAATTATGTCTCCCGAAATATTTTCAAACTTAAGTATTCGGAGTAGCTTCTAAAAATGATGCGATGACTCAAAGCTTTAAATAAATCGCCGTAATAAGTCATAAATTAAGAAACAAGGCGGCCCGGTAGACATTGCTACCGATAATAAATTAATTTCGACATTTTTCGCGTCGATTTTGTTTTTTTTTGCTAAGTCAAGTTACATATAAAGATAATTGCATCCTCCTCACACTATCCGTTCGTCAATATCATTTTTAAGGAAACTTAATTCATCATCTCCGCTAACAAACGTAGCTAAATATACGAAAGTTCTAAAAATTAGACCAAGTATGGAATAAATAAAATGAGGGGATATCAACCAACTTTATCAAAATCCCGATTTATACTCATACTCAAAAGAATTTCAATTATTGAATATATTCAATTTCAAACTCAAATTAAGCACAATAAGAATCGATTGACTCGAGAAAATAACATATTTCACGGCTAATTTTATTTTAAAGAAATAAATTAAATATTATAAATAAAATAATTTAATTCACATAAATTGCACAAGAATAAATTACACAAAATAACTTAATCGGCATAAATTAAGCAACATAAAAAAAAAATAAATATGAATAATTTAAGCCAAAATAAATTAACCTCAAATAAATTAATTAGCACACAATATTTATTGTGGCTTAAAAAAAATATTCAATTAAAGAGCCACTGCAATTGAACAAATGCTTGCATATAGCCTATATTATTATTCTAGAAAATAATGAAATCAAGTTAATTAAATGAATGAAAAATAAAATAAGCAGGGGAGTAAAAATGAAATAATTACCACACAAAACAAACACTTATCCTAAGTCTGTTCTGGTACAATTAATAAATAAAACAATAACCTATACTGGAGTACAAGTCTGAATTACTACTTTAATGGGATTATACTAGGCTGATTAATTAAATTAATAAATGGATCGTCATTATACATAATTTCACAAGAATTAAGTTAATTGCAGCCAGATCACACTTAGACCATCTCCAACCTACTGCATAAATACCAAAAATGGGGGGAGGGGCTCCAACCCACTCCCAAATCCCCCCATTTTTGCAGCAATCAACAGTTGGAGTAACGTTGTTACTCCACTCCAAAATGGAGTGGAGTTTTTGTGGTGTTTTTATATTTTTGGTATTTTTCTTGATGTGTTGTGTAATTTTAATTTTTTAGTAGATGATATATAATTTTATATTTTAAAAAGTTGTATTTTTTTTTTTGAAAAATAATGTATAATTTTATTTTTTAAAAGTGATATAATTTTAGTTTTTGGAAAGTAATATATAATTTTATTTTTTAAATTGATATATAATTTTACTGTTTGAAAAGTGATATAATTTTTATTTTTTTAAAATGATATGTAATTTTATTTTTTAAATTAACGTGTAATTTTACTTTGTAAAAAGTTATGTTTAATTTTTTATTTTAAAATTAATTATTTTATATATTTTCCACAAAAAAATTATAATATGTATGTATAATTATTAAAAAATGATATGTTTGTATTTAAATTTAAATTTATTTAAATTTGAAAATAATATATGTTATAAAATTATTTAGCAAATAAAATAAAAATACAAAAGCACGTTGCATAGGATGCAAATTACATAAAATATTACATTGATAGAATTCAAATTACATAAAACAAATTGCATAAAAAATAAAATTACATTGATAAAATACAATTGCATAAAATATTAAAATATACCGATCTAATACGGAGGAATATCAGCATTTCCATCTCCACCAATATCACTGAAATATTGAGAAAACATATTCGAAGAAGACTGTGGATTTGATCCCTGAAATTCCATTGTTCTTTTCTGTAAAATTTCATCTTTCTTGAGCTGGTAGTAAGCACGCTGAGCAGGATCAGAAATAGCATTCAAGTCCATATTCATAATTTTTTCCTCGCGTGCCATTCTTTTAAATGCTAATTTCTCTCGTTCCAGTTGCAAAAATTCTTGCCTGTGCAAATTTGATTTTTGTAGTATTTCCAGAACCATTGAATTTTGTTTTTTAACTTCAGTAACATGAGCATCTTCTTTATCCTTATTTTTCTTTCTGCTACTTTGCTTTTTTCACCCCTATGGGGCGCTCATATGAAGACCCACCAACATTATAATTTAAATTTAATCCACTCTCATCATCGTCTAAGTTAACAGAAAATGATGAATTTTCAGGAGATTCAAAAGCAGTGTTATCCGACGACGATGATACATGAGTGAAATTATTTTTTCGAGGTATTTTATATGGGTTTCTAGCTTCATTATGATCATTAAATTTTTCAAAATCTTTTAACAAATTCCAAACATGATCAAATTTAAAACCTTTTTTAGAACTTGCATATTCCTTCATTAGTATCTCATTTGCTTGATTTAACTGCAAACAAGATTTTAAGGTTACAAATAGAACTGTCAAGCTATATATATATATTAACAATAAATTTAAGAAATGACTTACAACATCCATTTCTGAAGCTCCATTGGGTTTTAAAGTTTCTACTTTCTTGATACAAGCAAGTAACTTTCGAACAACTTTCTCAATGGCTTGGATCCGATTTTGTACAGATCTTGCACTACGTATCTCCCAATCAGGATTTTTAGTTTGGTTGTATGCATCAGTGATTCGATTCCAAAATTGATTCCTGGATTGCTGCCTTCCAGTAATTGGATCTTGCGAGATATCTAAATAATGTTGGCATAGCAACACATCTTCATCATGACTATAACCACCACCTCGGATGGACATTTTGAGAAGAACTTTTGATAAACTTTTATTATATTAGAATGAAAAGTGAGTGATTCTGATGCAATAATTTAAAGAGTGGAAACATGTATTTATAGACAAATTTTGGATAGATATCAAATCTTATCCATTGTGAAACTTAATCTCAAACGTCGATTTAGATTTCACAAAACCCTATCCGTTGGATCAAAACACTTTTTTGACCAATCTCAATTATTTATATTATATTTGACTATATATATATATTATAATAATCTACTTATCTATATAAAAAACAATCTGAACCGTTCGTTTGGATTTCATCTTCATTTCATCCGTTGGATTGATATCTATATTATCCAATCAATTATTATATATTATAAATTATAAAAATTCATTTATCCATGTCAAAGTAACCATGAGCGTTCGTTTAGATTCCATTTACATTTCATCCGTTGGATTGGATATCTATATTATCCAATCAATTTTTATATATTATAAATTATTAAAATTCATTTATCTACGTCAGAGCAATCATGAGCGTTCGTTTGGATTTCATCTCCATTTCATCCGTTGGATTGGATATCTATATTATCCAATCAATTTTTATATATTATAAATTATTAAAATTCATTTATCTACGTCAGAGCAATCATGAGCGTTCGTTTGGATTTCATCTCCATTTCATCCGTTGGATTGGATATCTATATTATCCAATCAATTATTATATATTATAAATTATAAAAATCTATTTATCCATATCTGAGCAATCATGATCGTTCATTTGGATTTCATCTTCACTTCATCCGTTAGATTGGATATCCATATTATCCAATCAATTATTATATATTATAAATTATAAAAATCCATTTATCCATATCCGAGCTATCATGATTGTTCATTTGGATTTCATCTTCATTTCATCCGTTGGATGGATATCTATATTATCCAAATATTTCTCATATATTTATATTTTATCTAAAATTTTCATTCTATAAATTAGTTGACATTCAACAAAGGTTTATTCATCAAACTTATATTCACTTATCAAAACAATATTATTTCTTCAGCACGAGCAACTCTTCATCGTCAGATGATGAAGAAGTGAGTAGAATTTTCATGGAGTCCTTTCAAGAGGATGAAGCAGCAATCTCCATATTCATGCAAAACAATGCTTATTTGGAACAGTTACTCAATCTATCTCAATCAACCCATCGAGGCTCTATCCTAGGTCATCGAGTAATTAATCGTGATCGTGAAAGTTCAGATCGTAATTTATATAATGATTATTTTTCAAATAATCCTTTATATAATGAACAAATGTTTCGTCGACGATTTCGAATGTCTTAAAGTATGTTTCTTCGTATTGTTGATGCGATTAAAGATCATGATCCGTATTTTCAACAACGGAGAGATGGTCTTGGTAGACTTGGCTTGTCAACCTTACAAAAGGTAACTGTTGTTTTTCGGGTGTTAGCATATGGTGTACCTGCAGATTCAACTGATGTGTACATTAAAATTGGTGAATCAACAACAATTGAAAGTGTTAAGAGATTTTGTCGTGCCGTCGTTGAAATTTTTTCAACTGAATATCTTCGATATCCTAATGCTAATGATATTGCAAAGTTGCTTCATATTGGAGAATCTCGTGGTTTTCCAGGTATGTTGGGCAGTTTAGATTGTATGAATTGGAAGTGGAAAAATTGTCCTACGGTTTTCGCAGGTCAATATACAGGTCGTAGTGGAACACCGACTATTATTCTCGAAGTTGTGGCTAATTATGATCTTTGGATTTGGCATGCATATTTTGGTATGCCAGGTGCCAATAATGACATTAATGTTTTAGAATCATCGCACTTGTTTTCAAATCTTGCTCTAGGTATTGTTCATCCTGCACATTATACCCTTCAAGGGAAAGAATACAATATGGGGTATTATCTAGCTGATGGTATTTATCCTAAGTAGGCTACTCTTGTGCAAACTATTCGTGATCCACGAGGTCCAAAAAAAAGACTTTTTGCACAGAAACAAGAGTCCTGTAGAAAAGATGTTGAGCGTGCTTTCAGAGTTCTACAATCACGTTGGCATATAATTGTTGGAGCTGTTCGATTTTGGCAAAAAAATGTTCTGCATGATATTATCACTGCTTGCATTATTATGCATAATATGATAATAGAAAGATGAACGAGATCTCAGTGCACCTATCAGAGAAGTTTTAGAAACACCACCCCCATCCGTGGAAATGGCAACCGATGAAACCATCCAACTTCAACAATTTATTGCCCGACATAGACAAATTAGAGACAAAGATGCTCATTTTGCACTCCGTAATGATTTAATAAAGCATATATAGGAGCAATATAGTAACTCCATTGAATAAATATGTCATATTTTATTTGAACTATTTTGTAATGTATGTTTTGTAATAAATTGTTATGAAATAATAATATTACGTTATCTTTGTTTAATTATTATGATCATATTTGTCTTGATAGCATTTAATTATTTATTTAAAATTATTTTATTTGTAATAGTTATTAATTATAAATGTTAATTTTTATATATGTAATTTTTAAATAATTTATAAATTATATGTGTATGGATCTAATGTAAAAATAAATTAAAGTAGAGGTGTAATTTATAAATATGAAAAGTTATATAAAATAATATAAAAGAGGAATATATAGGGAATATACTTTTTGGAGTAAAAATTAAAGTTTATGGTTGGAGTAAAATTACTGTAGATCAACTGCATTTTTTTTACTGTAGCAACTGCAAAAATGGAGTGGAGGGTTGGAGATGGCCTTAAGAAATAGAACCATAGTTGCTTTCTGCACTACCCACTACGCAGGAACAACACTAATTCGACTCAAGCTAAGTAATCTAGACAAACAGCTGCCAGATTGGACATTAACATAGATTTGATCTACAACTAATTAATAATAATGTTTTCACTTAATTATACAACTACAGAACTTACCAACCAAATCAATTAGTGTAACCATTCAACAAACTATACTCTATTTCATTGACAAGCTAAGAAACAAAAATTACAACAATAGGAAACACATAATAAAAGCTAGACAACTAAGTTAACTTAGCAACAAACTAACTATGCTAATTACTAATTCAACTACTTTACGACAAACACTGCAGGAGACTCACTAAGACTACCTAACAGGTTAAGCTAATGGTATCAGCTAAGTAAACACAAACTAAACTTAACATGCAGCAGGCGAAGGCAAGGAGCAACAGAAGCGAACATACTGCCTAAATTGCAAACTAGTAACCTAACCTATCACACAATAACTAAGCTATCAATTAATACACAACTATACTAAGGGATTGTTTCAATGGCAGTTAAACTAGGCCAGTTATCAAGACTACAAAGCTAATTAACAATTAAGAAGAACACTTAAACAAATTCCGAACAAATTGACTACAAACCAATCTAATTCTAATCCTAACTAATCAGCAACATTTTAAGGCAAAAAAGACAACAGCGAACAAATAAATAAAAATACATAGTTTGAAGAATCTAACTATTTAAGCTAACTAATTATACTTCTATCTCAACTATAGCCGATTGAACTAGCCTAAAATGGATGGGATTAAGGATGAACTAAGACAAGTAAGCAAGAGTAAGCTGAAATATGTACAACTGCTTTTACACTATAATATGAAAATTATCCTAAATCAACTAGATTATAACTATTAATTTATCTAAGAAGCAATTATTCTACAATCTAACAAATTAGCAATCAATAAATAAGCCAGCATAAATAATTGAGAAGGAAATCAAGAACTTTCTTGATTCATGTCTTGCACCAAGATTTTTTTAAAAAAAAAAATTTGGTGGTGCCGATGACTTTCCTGAAGTAAATACAGTGGAAGGGACAAAAGTGTACTCCAATAAGCTGTAATCGGCCGTCATGTGACAATACCGTCGGATCCCAGTGGCTCAAGTATCTCTGAAGCTTCCCTAGAAGCTTCTCGTATAGAATACTCCTCCGATTCCCCACATAAAGGGGCGCACCAAGATATGTAATCGGGAGATCAGCCACTCTAAACCCTGTAACTGTCTAGAGCTGCTCCAGAACTCCCTCCGGACATCGTCTGCTGAAAACAATCGTGCTCTTCTGACAATTAACCTATTCGCCAGTGATCCTTGCATAATCAGCCAAAAAGGTCGTCAAAGAGCTCATCATCTCCCTCGCACTCGCAAATATCAAAACATCATCGGCATATGCGAGGTACAACAACCGAAACCCCCTTTTACATCTAAAGTAAGCTCCGGGCATCTCTGGTTGTAACACCCCGGCCGGCTCAAACCGGAGCGTCACCGCCACGCCACACCGGAAGGCTCGTTCATCAACCAACGAGTCCTACGTTGTGGCGGGATTAAATAATAAATACCAACAACTAATAAGAACTTAGAATTAAAGCGCACCGGCTTATCAATTAAGTAAATAAAGTTCAATTTAAAAGCATAAATTGGAAATAGTTCAAAAGACATTAATCTTTAAACATAATCAATGAATTTTCAAACATTTTAGAAGGTAAGGTAGTTCTAATTCCCCCCGATGGATCATATGACGTGAATGCATCACTTAGGCATAACGGAAGCATGATCACCTACAAAAAGAATCGTAAGAAGGGGGTCAACACAACGGTTGAGTAAGCGCAATTAATCGAAGATAAATTAATACGATATAATGCCACAAAATCATTTGAAGAAGATAGTCAAATAAAATGAGACGTATCACATAAGGGGAACTCACACACACGAGTCTTTTATCGCCTCCCTTATACCTCCTTTTCATTCTCAAATAATAGTGTTGAACACATCACGAAGGAAACTCCACTAGGCCTTAATCAGGGCCGGCTCGACCTGGTTTTCCAACCTTATTACTTCGTATGACACATCACATAATTTCATATAACAAACATAGGGTCATAACCCTCAAAGAAAACTCCACAATGTGTACGTAAGAGTTCGAAATCCAAAGTACACGTAAATCAAT